CCTCAAGTTCTCATTTGAGTATTTGCTACTACCACCAAGATCTGCACTAGAGGCTGTTCGACCCGGGATCACTCCCAAGGCTTCGTTACAAACCTCCACGCCTGCCTACTCGTCGGGGCTTCGTTTCTACCCCGACGGCGAGGTATGGGTAGCACGCTTGAGCGCCATCCATTTTCAGGGCTAGTTCATTCGGCCCGTGAGTTGTTACACACTCCTTAGCGGATTCCGACTTCCATGGCCACCGTCGGGCTGTCTAGATGAACTAACACCTTTTGTGGTGTCTGATGAGCGTGCATTCCGGCACCTTAACCTCGCGTTCGGTTCATCCCGCATCGCCAGTTCTGCTTACCAAAAATGGCCCACTAGTAACGATCCATTCTAATGCCCACGTTCACTTAAGTAACAAGGGCTTCTTACATATTTAAAGTTTGAGAATAGGTTAAGGTTGTTTCAACCCCAAGGCCTCTAATCATTCGCTTTACCTCATAAAACTGAAAACGTTACTGCTATCCTGAGGGAAACTTCGGCAGGAACCAGCTACCAGATGGTTCGATTAGTCTTTCGCCCCTATACCCAAATTTGACGATCGATTTGCACGTCAGAACCGCTGCGAGCCTCCACCAGAGTTTCCTCTGGCTTCACCCTATTCAGGCATAGTTCACCATCTTTCGGGTCCCAACAGCCACGCTCTTACTCAAATCCATCCGAAGACTTCAGGATCGGTCGATGGTGCACCCTTGCGGGCTCCCACCTCCGTTCGCTTTCACTGCGCGCACGGGTTTGACACCCGAACACTCGCGTGGATGTTAGACTCCTTGGTCCGTGTTTCAAGACGGGCCGCTTACAACCATTATGCCAGCATCCGTGCCGAAGCGCGTTCCTCAGTCCCGGCTGGCCGCATTGCGCCCCTGGCTATAAGACGTCCCGGAGGACGATACATTCCAGAGGCCTTTAACCAACCGCCAGAACTGATGCTGGCCCGGAGCATGGGGGAGTACACGGGCACGCATGCCCGCTGAGCCCCCACGACCGAGTCTGGTTGCAAGCGCTTCCCTTTCAACAATTTCACGTGCTATTTAACTCCCTTTTCAAGGTGCTTTTAACCTTTCGATCACTCTACTTGTGCGCTATCGGTCTCCGGCCAATATTTAGCTTTAGATGAAATTTACCACCCACTTAGAGCTGCATTCCCAAACAACTCGACTCGTCGAAGGAACTTCGCATGGGCGCGGTCCAGCAGCCA